TACACGATAATTGCTTACAAGCTACAAGAAGCTAATAGAACCAAAACACATTTACATAATTATTAAAGATAGAATTAGGTGCTCTCGCGGTTGTCAATGAATCTGCTTCGCTCATCTGATATGCTTCTTTGCACGATTCCGAAAAATAAGAAGCAATAATCATTAGTGTAAACATCTTGCATTATTCTAAAAGAAAAGTTTTCCGTAGAATTATCAGCAGCATGCATTTTATCAAGGCTAAAATGTTTCTTTTAGTTTCTTGTATTGTTTTTTTGTTTTTTTTTTAATTTTAGGAATAACACAAGATCGTGCTTTCCTGTAGTGCATTATGAGAACTAATCCGAAGATTAGCCGCCGAAACTGATGTCGGGATTAGTGGGGTAATTATTATATTGCAGCAGCGTGAGTGTCTATATCTAACAGTAACTGAGTATTATTTGATACAGTATCATTTTAACAATGTTTTTTGTCTATGATATTGGTGTTTACTTTATGTTCAGCACATTTTCTGAACTGATTTTATGGTTTAATATTGTTGTACGTTTTGTTGTTCCACGGATGTAGAAGAAAGGCTAAAAACCACGCTTTCATATTGCAGATCTTATCTAGTTTGGGTTTGAGTGTTTTTGTGATTGTGTTTGGGGTTAGGTATCTAGTTTGGGTTTGAGGGTTTTTGTGATTGTGTGTGGGGTTAGGTATTTAGTTTGGGTTTGAGGGTTTTTGTGATTGTGTGTGGGGTTAGGTATCTAGTTTGGGTTTGAGGGTTTTTGTGATTGTGTGTGGGGTTAGGTATCTAGTTTGGGTTTGAGGGTTTTTTGTGATTGTGTGTGGGGTTAGGTATCTAGTTTGGGTTTGAGGGTTTTTTGTGATTGTGTGTGGGGTTGGGTATTTAGTTTGGGTTTGAGGGTTTTTGTGATTGTGTGTGGGGTTAGGTATTTAGTTTGGGTTTGAGGGTTTTTGTGATTGTGTGTGGGGTTAGGTATTTAGTTTGGGTTTGAGGGTTTTTGTGATTGTGTGTGGGGTTAGGTATCTAGTTTGGGTTTGAGGGGTTTTTGTGATTGTGTGTGGGGTTAGGTATCTAGTTTGGGTTTGAGGGTTTTTGTGATTGTGTGTGGGGTTAGGTATTTAGTTTGGGTTTAAGGGATTTTGTGATTGTGTGTGGGGTTAGGTATCTAGTTTGGGTTTGAGGGTTTTTGTGATTGTGTGTGGGGTTAGGTTGGTTGTTGTTAGTTAGTTTGGGTTTGAGGGTTTTTGTGATTGTGTGTGGGGTTAGGTATCTAGTTTGGGTTTGAGGGTTTTTGTGATTGTGTGTGGGGTTAGGTTGGTTGTTGTTAGTTAGTTTGGGTTTGATAGTTTTTGTGATCGTGTGTGGGGTTAGGTTGTTTGTTTTATCGTGGACATTTATCCTATATAGACGGACGACACAAGTCACGTAAAGGCAATAGGTTCCATCTGACCAAATTGGTATCAACAAGCGTTCGTAAAAAGCTGATTTATATATCAACCCTGATGTTCAGATTATTTTGACAGGAGATTCTATTAATCGTTGTGTATCCCCTCGTTTTGACGAATTATAATATGAAATGAAATGTTATCCTGAACTGGGACAGGCACTGTAATACAGGGGAGGTTGAAGTTCTGTAAGGGTAGCGAAGTATTTTTCAATCTCATAACATATGTCCGAAGTATGTTCTCATTTGTTTTTCGAAATTAACATACATGCATACATCACGGCAAACTATCCGCCAGTTAAACTTGTATGACTATCAACCTTCCATTCCACCATAGTTTACCTAACATAATTCCATGCACTGAAATCTTTTTTTATTATTCAGTTTAAAAAAATGAATGAATTCGGTGACCCCATTATATTCTGCACCTGTTTTTTACATGAGTTGTTTCTGACCAAACCAATTCAGAAGAAATTGTATGAATTGTCGTTTCTGTATAATGATAGGTTGCTATCTCATTGGTTTTGACAAATATCTCGTATTCAAAATCATGAATGTGAATATCAATGTTTGATAAACGTGAATGATTAAATGCCTTATATATCTTATACACGTATAGTTCAAATACAACACTTAATGTATGTGTACTTAAAGAATGTCACAATGAATTCTTTTATATATCTAAGCCAAAGGGTGTATATATTACATGCGAATAGAACGACCTCTGCTCAAATATCCAAATATGGAAATATCTATATAGAGTTTATGTCGTAAGTTTTTATCGTGCGTAAACCTATATCTGAAACAGGAAAAAAGAAACCGCTCAAAGGAAACAGAAGTCGAAAAGCTTAAAATTCCCTGCGTTCTACCACGAAGTAAATAAGCTGCAATACTGTCCTATAGTGTAATAAACAATTTCCATATATAGGTACATTTACACTGTAAAAGTATGCTTGATCAGCATTTTTGAATACCGGTAAAGTGATATTTATTTATGTTCGTTTTGGAGTACTCGTATCAATGAAATCTGAAATTTGACCACTGAAATATAATTCGTGTACTTGTTTAATTTCTATTTGATAGAATATTTGAAATTCGGTACGTCCTGGGTTAAGACCAACATTCCCAAATATTAACATGCAAATAATTTCAAGCTTTCTTCTCAAAAATTTAAAAACTTTTGACGCAATCTTTTCGTTTAATGTCTGTCATTAGTCTAAAATGACAAAAATTATAAAAAAAATGACAAGACAAAAATCTGTTTTCACATTAACACTAATATGGACACTTTGATGGGTTTTTTTAAAGAATATCCTCATTCCTTTGCAGAAGTCAATAATATTAAAAAATGCAGTTAACATTTTTTGAAGAAGACAATCATGTTAAATATTTATAATGTGTACCAAATAGTCAGCTTTGTGACGAAAATCATTCAATAGTTTTGTTTCCATTACGACATTTGTTCAGTTATTGGACCCTTTGTTCAAACAATTTGTTGAATGACGACAGATAAGCTAGCAAAACTTTCTGGTCGAAATGAAAAAACTTATATGTAGCTAATTTTAGTGACTCTATAGAATTTTTCATTCTCCGAATGGGGTCCCACGAGAGCAAGTAACACATAAACAATGCGAGTATAAATAATTACAGAACAATAATATATCTAATCTAGACGATAGACATGTTATGAAACTTTTAGCTTTCTTCGTGCTGTCTTAAATGTGTTTGATTGACCTTTGATTTGTTGTTTAATGATATCTACCAAGGAGAAGACAATAGACCTAACCGAGGACGCTTCACATTCTACAGGAAATAACTCGTGACTGAAGATCAACCTTAAAATCCTTTTTCATGGTCAAAATTGCCTGTTTTCCATGATTGTAAAGTTGCACAGACCGTCACAGTCCTTCAATCGTTCCTTTTTCTGTATTGTTTGTTTTCCGCATCGTTCTAAAAATAGCATATGTCATCCGCCGAGTTATATGGAACATTGGTGAGCATCTCAGCATAATTACTGATTCATCGATGACTGTCACAATTCCGTTATGTCCCCAACACAAACCATCTGCCATAATCAATTTCTTGACTCATTTTCAATTTTGCTCTGTTGTCTTCATCTTGTCGCGTTAGATACTTTGGTCTGGGGGTTCAAACAAATGCCCATGAAATAAACGAAAACATACATCTTGCATCAAAACGTGCACCAGTGACCAGATAATTTATTATTGATTATTGATTTATAACGTCGGATCAGCACAAATAAGCGACGTTGCGACGAACCTGATCCAATAACCATAGGCTTTGGCAAAAAATTTCAATATTTCACACGAATGGCTAATGAGGCTTTCGTAGAAATACTTCTTATGCTGTAGTAGCATGATAATAATAAAATTGACAGTCATTGAACACAGACAACCTTCAATTCATAAGGACTCATAACTTTTGTATGGCTGAAAACAGAAAACAAATACTTGACTATTTTCATAAGCCTATGTCGTGTGTTGTTACGTTCTTGTCTGCGTGTTCAACCTACTTTTATATATGAAATGTATATATCAATATATGTGTGTGATCATTGATCATTTTGTTACGTACATTTATATAACCACCAAACGAAAAATTAAAGAAAACTTGTTATTTTGACAGTCGATATTGACATATACATGCATTATGTATGACGGGTGATTATGGCTTAAAGGCGAGAATGTCTCACAAAAACATGTACACATACACAAATTGCACAAGTGGCTGACAAATCAAAGATTTTTAAAATTTGATAAAAATTTACTGGATTTTAAAATTAAAATGTCTCGTGTAGTCTTGTTAACGATCCTTATTGTATTTTTACCCAATAAATGATTCGATTTAATCTGAGACTACTCAGTATAACACAGTAGTCCCAGAATTTGATTTTGTTGTCTACATTTGTATCCTGGGCTTGTCCACGTGTATTTGTTTCTCCTAACTGAAGTTTCTCTGAAAAAACAAGTACTGTAATATCTTTCCTATTCCAGAATATTTCTAAAGAACTTTTATTATAAAGGAACTTCCATTCTATGATAGCACACATTTATATATATATATTAAAATTAAACGTATATATATATTACGGGTTTTTTTTTTAATATTACTAATTATGCATATACGTCTGCACTCCCATTACAAGAATGTTAAATATAATTCAAAGTCGACGTAATCATACAGAATAAATCATTATTATGACATACTCTTATCTTTTCTATTTGTCAAATTTTAATGAAAACAAGCAGGTTTTATCTCACCTGATGATTAACAGAAAATGCCACACTAACGAGTTGTAAAAATACCTGTGTGTCCATTACCCTTTAGGTGAGGTCATTATGAATATTCAGTAGCTAAACCAATCAATAAACAGGACGTTTACCATAAACAGGCATACTGCCTGTTAAACTGAAAGCTTTTCCGAGAATCGTATGCAAATGATTCATTCCGAATCACCATATATGGTAACATTTGGCTTTCTTTTCCCAGGGTGCAAAGGTGAGAAAGACTGGAGAATAAAACTAGTGTGAATTTTAAATTCTTCACAGTCAATCGTTGAGAACAGAACAGAAAGGTTGTAACAAACTAAATATCAAACTAAATTCAAAATGTGTGACGACGACGTAGCCGCTTTGGTAATTGACAATGGATCCGGTATGTGTAAAGCTGGATTTGCAGGAGATGATGCTCCAAGAGCTGTATTTCCATCAATTGTTGGAAGACCCAGACATCAGGTTTGTTATTTTTTTTAATTTTCAATCTTTGCATTTAGTTCAATAATCAAACATTGTTGAAAGTGATACTATCAATTTATTTAAGAATGTCTCGATCAAGATTCGTCTCAATTACCTACACACATTGGGTATAAAAAAAAATCTTTTTTTTTTTCGTTCGGAAGAATAATATTTTGATAATCGTGTTTTATATTTCGAGATTCGTTGTAATGCTTCATTTCATGCAGAAATCAATGTATTGAAAAATTGAAACGAAAATTAATAAGATTGTTCTGAATATGATGTAATAAGCCGGTACACGTTGCCGGTGCCCATATTTGGAGATGACTCATCCTCAGTAGTTAGCCACGCCCACGTATGTACTTTATTGGAAGAAATAAAAATTACGAGACTGACTTGTTCACGTGAAATGCAAGATGTCTAGTTTAAATTCTAACATTTCTTTTTTTATTTAAATCTTTTTGTCTATTAATCAGAAATGCCAGCGTTGTGACCACAGACGCTTGGGTATATGATACAGATATTTTTTTTTTATTTTATTTTTTTTGGTGATTAAAATTAGAATATTCAATTTTCTATATTTATACTACATATCTATCACTACTGCGCATGTCTCACCTAGTTTCGAGTGATTTTACCAACTCTGAGACAACCCCCATTTTTCTATACACACTAAGAAACAAAAAATATATCAAGCGCCTGTGATTGTGACCTAAAAATTCTTCATCATGGCTTTAAATGTGGAACAACGCCTTATATGGTGACCACTTGAGACAACGGCAGTAATCACGTGTTAGTTACGACAACAGATCGATTTGATTATTCATACTTCGAATAATTCACCAAAAAATTAAGCGACTGAACTCGGGAACACTTCTAAAAAACATACTTTGATAAAAAGTTTTTATTTTTTGTAAATGACATATTACTTCATGCCCAATGATCATGTATAAACTTTATTTTCAACAAATCGCCGTTATAGTACAATACAGAAACCCATGTGTTGTTCAAATATAAATGTATCCAAATTTATACCAACAGCAATAAAATACACAATACACATGCAGTGCTAGTCCGTTATATTGTTAATGTAACAAATAGTACATGTTCATTCATTTGTGATTTTCAGGGTGTAATGGTTGGTATGGGACAAAAAGACAGCTACGTCGGTGACGAAGCCCAGAGCAAAAGAGGAATCCTTACATTGAAATACCCAATTGAACACGGAATTGTCACAAACTGGGACGATATGGAGAAAATCTGGCATCACACTTTCTACAATGAACTCCGTGTAGCACCAGAAGAACACCCCGTTTTACTGACAGAAGCTCCTCTCAACCCTAAAGCCAACAGAGAAAAGATGACACAGATTATGTTCGAAACCTTCAACTCTCCAGCTATGTACGTTGCTATTCAGGCCGTATTGTCTTTATATGCTTCTGGTCGTACAACTGGTATTGTGTTGGACTCTGGTGATGGTGTGACCCATACTGTACCCATTTATGAAGGTTATGCACTCCCTCATGCTATCATGAGATTAGATCTTGCAGGACGTGACCTTACAGACTATCTTATGAAAATTCTCACAGAGCGTGGATATTCATTCACAACCACAGCCGAGAGAGAAATCGTAAGAGACATAAAAGAAAAATTGTGCTATGTAGCATTAGATTTTGAACAAGAAATGTCCACAGCTGCATCTTCATCATCATTAGAAAAAAGCTATGAATTACCTGACGGACAGGTTATAACAATCGGAAATGAAAGATTCAGATGCCCAGAGGCTATGTTCCAACCATCTTTCTTGGGTATGGAATCTGCCGGTATCCATGAAACAACATACAACAGTATCATGAAATGTGATGTTGATATCCGTAAAGACTTGTATGCCAATACAGTACTTTCTGGTGGTTCAACCATGTACCCAGGTATTGCTGACCGTATGCAGAAAGAAATTACAGCACTTGCCCCAAGCACAATGAAAATCAAGATTATTGCTCCACCAGAAAGAAAATATTCTGTCTGGATTGGTGGTTCCATCTTGGCTTCACTCTCAACCTTCCAACAGATGTGGATCAGTAAACAAGAGTACGACGAGTCTGGTCCATCCATCGTCCACAGAAAATGCTTTTAAACTACAAAATAACTTGTTCAAAACTGCAATTAATTTGTTATGTTATACACTGGTGCAGACAGCATACTATTGTATCATTGTTAAAATTCTATCTCGAGATATGAAGTTAAATATAGATCTGAAAGACTATTAATGATCTGCACCGTTCGTTACGGTCCCGTGTCGTGGAGAACTCCCAAGCAAGGCGCTTAATTCGAACGATTTTGTATTACTTTTATAGAGTTCTTCGTTGTACACAAATAAAGCTGTAAAACCCAATATGATGTGCCTTCAATTATACGTTTTATTGTTTTGGTTTAAGGCCTAATCATGCTTTATTATGTATGGTATCAGTTTACCAGAACTAAGTGTATCCTGCTTTATTTTGTCTGGTTTCAGTGTGCAAGAACTAAGTGTATCATGCTTTATTTTGTATGGTCTCGGTGTGCCAGAACTAAGTGTATCATGCTTTATTTTGTATGGTCTCGGTGTGCCAGAACTAAGTGTATCATGCTTTATTTTGTATGGTCTCGGTGTGCCAGAACTAAGTGTATCATGCTTTATTTTGTATGGTCTCGGTGTGCCAGAACGAAGAGTATCAATGCTTACATTGTCTTATCAGCGTTCCAATAGCATTCCGTTTACTTTGTATGTGGTCTCGATATGCCAGTATTTTATATACCCTGCTTTATGTTGTATGTGATCTTGATAAGCTAGTAGTATACCCTGCTTTATGTTGCATGTGGTCTTGATAAGCTAGTAGTATACCCTGCTTTATGTTGCATGTGGTCTCAATATGCTAATAGCATTCCCTTCATTTTGTTTGTGGTCTTGGTGTGCAATTAGCATATCCTGTTTTATATTGTCTGAGGTTTCAACGTGTCCGTATTATACCTTGGTTTATTTTGAGAGGCTTGATTTCCCTATGTGTTGGTAGTATATACTTTATTTTGTTTGCGATCACGATGTGCCAGTAGTATAATGCATTGCTTTCTTTGTCTTGATGTTTTAACTGTAATGTGTCAGAAGTATATCCTGCTTTATGTTACTTAATTTAAACATATTTTATTGTCAACACGAGAAAAATGACGATGGATAAGATACAAGTTTTAATTTGTGAGATCTTCCCCAATACAAATAATCAAAACATTTCACATTATAGAATAGAAAAGAGTATACTTTATTCCATATTAATAGGCCCACAAGGAGCAGCATGCCATTTTATTAATAAACCAACAAAAAGAACAATACGAAGAGAAATAACTTCTTGATTGTTGGAATAAACTGTTAACTAAGAAGAATAAAAAACTTTTTAAATTAATATTTTTTTTAAAAACCTGCATACATGTATATCATACGACATAGTACACTTGACACAGAAATATATGATTTAAGAAATTGACCCATCATATCACACCATGCTTGTGATGTATTTAAGGGATGCTTTATTTGGTTTCTAGTCTCAATGTTCAAGTATAATACTGTTTTAGTTAGTTAGATGTGCCACTGAGTAGTATATCATTTTAAGCTCACCTGGCCCAAAGGGCCAAGTGAGCTTGCGTCCGTCGTCCGTAAACTTTTACAAAAATCTTCTCCTCTGAAACTACTGGACCAAATTTGACCAAACTTGGCCACAATCATCATTGGGGTATCTAGTTTAAAAAATGTGTCCGGTGACCCGGCCAACCTACCAAGATGGCCGCCATGGCTAAAAATAGAACATAGGGGTAAAATGTAGATTTTGGCTTATATCTCTGAAACCAAAGCATTTAGAGCAAATCTGACATGGGGTAAAATTGTTTATCAGGTCAAGATCTATCTGCCCTGCAATTTTCAGATGAATCTGACAACCCGTTGTTGAGTTGCTGACCCTGAATTGGAAATTTTGCCGTTTTTGGTTATTATCTTGAATATTATTATAGATAGAGATAAACTGTAAACAGCAATAATGTTCAGCAAAGTAAGATCTACTAATAAGTCAACTTGACCAATATGGTCAGTTGACCCCTTAAGGAGTTATTGCCCTTTATAGTCAATTTTTAACCATTTTTCGTAAATTTTTGTAATCTTACAAAAATCTTCTCCTCTGAAACTACTAAGACAAATTTAACCAAACTTGTCCACAATAATCATTAGGGTATCTAGTTTAGAAAATGTGTCCGATGACCCCGCCCGCGAACCAAGATGGCCGACATGGCTAGAAAATAGTACATAGGGTAAAATGCAGTTTTTGACTCATATCTCTGAAACCAAAGCATTTAGAGCAAATCTGACAGGATAAAATTGTTCATTAGGTCAAGCAGTGGCGGATCCAGAGGGGGGCGTAGAGGGCGTACGCCCCCCCCCCCTTTGCTTGCACTTTTTTTTCTTTTTTTTTTTTCGTAAAATGATTAGACTAAACTTCGTGAATTTTGCCATTTCCCGTGTATTTAATTTTTATGCGACAATTCTTTACTTATAAAGATAATTATGTTTCGCTCGTATTTACTGTAATATATTATTGATTATGTCAAAGTCAAGTGATTCTCTACGGTGGAGTTGACCAGTTCGTCGAAAAAAAACGTCACTCAGTCATTTTGAAATTCAAATTACAGTAACACATTGCTTAGGCTGAGGATGACAAGCATGACGCATTCAAAGCGACAAAGTATTGAGCAAGAACTTATTGACTTCTATTTCACAATTCCACCCAACAGAAAGTAATACTCTATTACACTGTCATGAAAAAAAAAGTTTCACAGCAATATTATTTACCTACGAAAACATGTTTAACCCCACACGCTCCAGTCCATTAATAACATTGCTGAATAGTGATCCCCATTCAGTAAGCTCTAGATATAGATTTAAAGTCTAAGGCACGGACCATTTGATCTGAGGGGGCAGTCTGAGATATTTTAGAGAAAAAAATCTGACCCTGATTTTTGCCTTAAACAAAAATTCTGGCCGTATCTGGATTGAAAGCAATAATCTTGTCCACTTTTTGCTATTAGAAAAAAATATTTTCAACAGAATTATTTAGCATTAAATGAACATGATAAATAAAAAACGGGCATATTTTTTTTTGGGGGGGGGGGGGGGTTGCATGTGAATCCCATATCTGACCGGAATGTCTGTTTCGCCGAACTGATATACTGAATACTTTTTTCAAGGCCCGACTGCAACCTGCCTGCTGGGTGTTGCCTATATGTATCCATGTGTCGACCGTCATTCACAACTTCATTGTCATTTCTGACTCATTCGTAGCCTTTGGTTGATTTGGAACCCCTCACTTCCCTTGTTGAGTGAAACATTTCAACCAAACATTTGGATGAAAATTGCTTGTTTGTTTTTCTTCGTGTCGGTCGTATTGTAAATTTCATTGAATAGCCGTATATCTTGTTAACTACAAGAAATCTGTGAGGTTATGCTAACTAACCATACAACAAACGAGAATTTTCCATGTCCCTTTTTTACTGACAAGTCCCACATCAAATATATTAATTAGTACATAGCTTTGGATTCATCCAATCATTTCATAATAGACAATTGATGGAGAGAATACGGCACCAAAAATGTCCAACCCCTACACTTTAACTATAAAATGCATTTTACACTTATTCTATGTTTTTTAGCCAAAAAAAGGTCCAAAAAAATTTTTGCCTCGCTCCGCTCGGCGAACTTTAATACTACGCCCCCCCTTTTCAAAATCCTGGATCCGCCCCTGTCAAGATCTATCTTCCCGGAAATTTTCAGACCAATCAAGCAACACGTTGTTGGGTTGCTGCCCCTGAATTGGTAATTTTAAGAAAATTTTGCAGCTTTGGGTTATTATCTTGAATATTATTATAGATAGAGATAAACTGTAAACAGCAATAATGTACAGCAAAGTAAGATCTACAAATAAGTCAACATGACCAAAATGGTCAATTGACCCCTTAAGGAGTTATTGCCCTTTATAGTCAATTTTTTACAATTTTCATAAATTTTGTAAATTTTTGTAAATTTTTACAAAATATTTTCCACTGTAACTACTGGGCCAAGTTCATTATAGATAGAGATAATTGTAAGCAGCAAGAATGTTCAGTAAAGTAAGATCTACAAACACATCACCATCACCAAAACACAATTTTGTCATGAATCCATCTGTGTCCTTTGTTTAATATGCACATAGACCAAGGTGAGCGACACAGGCTCTTTAGAGCCTCTAGTTGTCTGAAGTCTCGTGTGTGCTGGTAGCATACCCGGCTTTATTTTTGTCTGCAGTCATGAATTTCCTAAATCAGCATAACACAGTATTTGTTATGCTTGACTGATTCTTACTACAAACCGTTTCTGAATATATATATATATATATATATATATATATATATATATATATATATATATATATAAACAAGTCTAAATTGAAAATATATATATATATATGTCTAGTTGGAGTTTGGGTGAACAAAATGAAGTCGGAGATATTGAGCTATACATTTACTAGAGTAAAATATCCCAGTTAATCATGTAAAGATAAAATAAAATATGATAATTATAGTGTTGAATTAAGGACACACTAGTATGATATAATTGTTATTCGGGCTTCACAGGGGATATGGGAGATTTAAAACACTGACTCGGAATTTTGAGTCCATCCTCCGTCTGGTGGCACAGGAGATATAAAACAGTGACCCGAGCCCATATCCTCTAGACTAAGATCCCGACTAATATATAATGTCAGTTAGACAGCAACCAAACAAAAGTACACCACACTAATAGTTATACATTTTAATAGCTGACACATCAAGACAGAATACATCCGTTTGAAAGGATCTACGGTGACCTATAGTTGTTAATTTCTGTGTCATTTGGTCTATTGTGGAGAGTGGTCTCATTGGTAATCATACCACATATTGATTTGACTTGTTTGCTTGATGTTCAATGACAAATATTTCACTTTTGTTGTAACTATATTTCCAATTTAGATTTGTCTTTATGACATCTGTTTAGTATTCAATTAACTGCAATTTTACATTCGAAGGGGTTTGAGGTGTTTAGACGATTACAAGAATATCCACGCAGCTTTAAACTGCTCTTCAATTTAATAGTTTTAATATATCCCCAAAAAATAGATTTTTTTTGCGAAGAAAATGCTGCAAAACAAACTCGGAACTAAAAAATATTTCCAAAGTTACTGTATATAAACTTGAAAGTTTTAATGTAAAATTCGGACTTTGTTTGTCCCCTGTAGGGTCATTTTCAAAAAGTGTGTCTTCAAAAATTTAAATTCAAGTTTCATAGTTCCATATGTAAACGTT